GATAAGTGGAATCTCAAGAAAAGCCAGGTTAAGCAAGATTAAACAGATGTCTTTACTTTGGGGCCTCTGTGGAGGTTTTATAACCTCGCTGCAAAATCTCTCACACCCGCCCAGTTGAGAGGTGGGGTCTTCATCCCCTCCCCTGGAATCTGAGACCTACAGAGTATGGTGGAAATGACACCGTGTGACATCCGAGGCTAGATCATAAAAGGACATACCACCTCAACCTTGTTTGCTGGCATATTAGGCTACCCTGTCCTGAGGGGCACATGTAGACTCTATGGCCAGCAGTCCCAGCTGAGCCCACCCCTCCGGGCATCCTGCCAAGGTGCCAGACAGGTGAGTGCAAAGCTACCTGGGAATTGCGTCTTCTGGCTGTAGCCATTATAGTTCGAGCTATCAGAGGAGGCGCCAGAGTGGAAATCCCAGCCACAGTGGAATACAGATGATGGTCTCTGCTGTATATATTTATACATACGTATACATATACATACATACACACTTTATATACTTTGCATATACATAAAGTATTAGTATTATAAGGTGTAAGTTATATATAAGACATATATACAAGGTATTAGTATTATATAATATCGTATATATGAGGTATTTAGTCTGGCTGCTTTAGGTAAACAGAACCAATAGGTATATATATGATGTTCAAAATCTTCAGGGCGGGCTGACAGACTGGGGACTGCAGACCTATGGAAGGGTTGATGCTGCAGCTTGAGTCCCAAGGCGGTCTGCAGGCAAAATTCCCTTACTCATGGGAGGGTGGCCTTTTTCTCTCGTAAGACCTTCAACTGATTGGGTAAGGCCCACCCACATCATGGAGGATTAATTTGCTTTACTTAAAGTCTACTGGTTTGTTTGTTTTTTTTTAAGATTTTATTTATTTGACAGTGAGAGAGGGAAAACAAGCGGGGGGAGTGGGAGAGGGAGAAGCAGGCTTCCCGCGAAGCAGAGAGCCGATGTGGGGCTCGATCCCAGAACCCTGGGATCATGACCCGAGCCGAAGGCAGACGCTTAACGACCGAGCCACCCAGGCGCCCTAAGTCTACTGGTTTAAATGTTAATCTCATCTAAGAAACACCTTCGTGGCAACATGGAGACTAGTGTTTGACCAAACACCTGGGTACTGTGGCCTAGCCAAGTTGGCACATAAAAATAACCATCAGCGGCTGTTTGCCATGCAGCAATAGATAACCAAAACAGCCTGTGCCAGCCTCCTGCTGTGTGCTGTGACTTTCCAAGTAGGTGATAATATGCCACATTGTCCAGTTTTATTTGATCAAACTTTCCAACCTCCTTCCCTCCCCCACCCCGTTTTGCATTATGTGTGCGTTTTTTTTTTTTAAAGATTTTATTTATTTATTTGACAGAGAGAGACACAGCGAGAGAAGGAACACAAGCAGGGGGAGTGGGAGAGGGAGAAGCAGGCTTCCCACAGAGCAGGGAGCCCGATGCGGGACTCGATCCCAGGACCCTGGGATCATGACCTGAGCCGAAGGCAGTCGCTTAACCAACTGAGCCACCCAGGCGCCCTATGTGTGTGTTTTTTAACAGAGATCTTTGGGTATGGTGTTCTGCAGAACACCCCTTAACAAGTTTGAGTGTAGCACTTAAGAGCAGAATCAGGTTCAATTCTTGACTGAGTTTCTAGCTGTGTGACCTTGATAAATTATTTAACCTCTCTGAGCCTCAGTATCTTCATCCATAAAGTGAGATAATCATACTGGGCTCACTGCTGTTGTGAGGAGTAAATTAAATGAGCCTTGGAAAGGGCTCAGACCAGCAGCTGGACACACAGTTTTTTATTCATTCATTCATTCATTCATTCATTCATTCACCTGCAGGACCCAGATTTTACCAGTCTATGGTGCTCCTCTTCCTTTTAAGTCCTTCATTGTGATGCTCAAGCTCTCATCCTACTCCATTTCTAGAAGCTTCTCTCCCTTCCAGTTTCTCTTTCTTCCTTTCTATTTTCCCTTCTATTTTCTTTTTATTTTCCTGTGTAAAATCAGATTTCTCCCCCCATCCCTGGGGGACACGTGCATGTTTCACAAATTCATCTTGTTTGTCACTCCAGCCGCCGCTGCTCTCTGGACCACTGCTTCACATTTCCCACGAGGCACTGCTCTCTCTGCTTCAGCTCCCTTCCTTCTGCCTCCGCTACTGCCTCCCTGCCCGGCCCACCTCCCCTCCAGCGCAGGATGGACCCTGCTGCCCAGGGTGGCAGCAAGAATAGGCTGCAACTTTTATGCTGACTTGACTGGATTGGTCCAGGATCGAATGTTCCACGATCGAATGTTCCACGTATCTACCGGAGGTAACATGCTCAGAGCTGTGGACGTGTACAGAGCTCCCCCTACCCTGAGAGTACCTGCAGCGCTCGTGGCATTGCCTGCCCAGGAGTCCTCGCTGCCTGCTGCCCAGCCTAAGACCCACCTGTCTGCTTCCTCGTTGCCTGACCTGGTTCCAGGATGTCTGTCAGTGGGAATTTCCACTCCTTGAAGGGGGCCCCACCATCAGGTAGATGATGGGCCCTATAGCTCTCTGCTGGACACTTTTAATACTGTTATTGTACCTTTTCTCCTAGACTGAGGTTAAGAGACCTGAGAGGTCAGGATGACATTCCCACACTCTAGCCCATGTGCACCTGCAGCACGCTGCTCCTACTATGCTCTTGAAAGGAATTTCCCCACGGTCCACTTTTCTCCTCCCATCGGATGGTTAGAGATGAATTTGTCCAAGGCAGTAGCCATAGCCTCATCTGGAATGTGGCGAGTCCAAATTAAGACATGTTGTAAATATGAAATGTACACAAGTTTCAAAGACAGTGCTAAAAAATGGGATGCCAAAATATCTCAACAGTTTTTATATTGCTTACATGCCAAAAGACAATATTTTTTTGTATATTAAGTGAAAGAAAATCTCTTACCAAAATTAATTTCACCAATTTCCCTCTTTTAAAAATGGCTCCTAGAAAAATCTAAAAGTGCATTATGTAACTAGTGTAATTTGTACAGGATAACCTGGTTGCAGAAGGTACTCAGAGCAGAACCTGGGGCATACTCAACAGTTTCCAGATGGATAAGCCTCTGAATAATAAAACTAGGTAAGGAAGCTCCGGAGATCTGAGGTCACTTTCCTAATCTCATCCTGGCCCCAGGGGCTTTGTCCTCACCCTCTCAAGCATCTCCATACCTGGAATGCTCTCCCCTCCTCTCTGCCTTCTGCCTTCATATGGCTCATCCCTTTCTCTTTTCTTCTAGAGTTAGCCCCTCCCACTTTCATCTCCTCTGAGAGATATTTCCCGACACCCGAACTCCTGCTAAAGATGTCATCTTGCTAGGGACGCCTGGGTGGCTCAGTTGGTTGAGTCAGTCACCACTGACTCTTGGTTGTGATCTTGGGGTTGTGGGATCAGTCCCCACATTGGGCTCCCGCTGAGCACTGAGTCCCCTTGAGATTCTTTCTCCCACTCCCTCTGCCCCTCCCCCCACTGCTCCTGTGCATGCGTGCTCGCTCTAAATAAATAAATAAAATCTTTAAGGGAAAAAAAGATGTCATTCTGCTAAGAATGACATCCCCAAAGTGCCCACCCAACCCTGCTATTCTCTTCACAACAGTTCCTACTGAAATTCTCTTGCTTATTTGTTTATCATGTTTTCCCAGCTAAAGTATCAGTTCCATGAGTACAAGGGTCTTGTTTATCCTGCATCTTCTCATGCTTCAGCACAGTTTAGACTTCCAAAAAAAAATTTTTTTTGATGAATGGATGAATGAATGAATGAAGAACATGAATTCTTACTGTTCACGTTTGAAGCTTTGTGTGAATTTACAACTTAATCTCTTCCTTCTTACTCGGGGACTTTAGTAAAGTGTACAGACGTGTCTTGGTGAGTGGATTCTTTTTCTGGGGGGCAGGTATGGAAAAGGGCTGAGTTTCCATCAGAATCAATGCTGTATTGAGCAGAGAAAACCCACCTGGAAATCGGTACCCCAAAGGAAGAGTGACCATGGTGCCATAAGCCCCAGAAATGTGCAAGAATCTGGGTGGAGCTTAGGAGTCTCTTAGGGACCGAAAAAAAAACCCCACCACAAAACAAAAAACAAAAAACAGAAACTTAATGTCTCCCACTTTTGGAAGCTAGAAATTCAAGATTAAGGTGTCGTAGGATTGGTTTCTTCTGAGGGCTGTGGGGGAGAATCCATCCCACGCTTCTCTCCTTGGCTTATAGATGGTTATCTTCACATTCACATGGCATTCTCCCTGTACGTGTGTCTGCGTTCAAATTTCTCCATCTTATAAGGATACCTGTCAAATTGGATTAGGGCCCATCCTCATGACCTCATTTTAATGTGTTACCTCTGTCTCCAAATAAGGTCATATTCTGAGGTACTGGAGGTTAGGAGGACGTCAAAATATAAACTGGGGAGGAGGGAGAGAACACAATTCAACCTATAACAGATGCTGAAGGACCACTTGCAAGCCGTCCCTGGAAGACTGGGTGTTTTATAGCCCCTATCCCACGGAACACTCTGATGGTCATCCACTGTTCTCACCTGCCCAGCATCCATCTCCCCTCTTCTGGGTAGAGCACCCAGATTTTTCTTTGGGGATTCACCCACCTGACATTCTCGGTCTGTCTGCTGCTTCTTTTTTTTTTTTTTAATTTATTTATTTGAGAGAGAGAGAATGAGAGAGAGCGAGCACATGAAAGGAGGAGGGTCAGAGGGAGAAGCAGACTCCCCCCTGAGCAGGGAGCCCCATGCGGGACTCGATCCCAGGACTCCAGGATCATGAGCCACCCAGGCGCCCCGGTCTGTCTGCTTCTAACAGAATTGGCCTTATCCCCCAGAGACAGCATTGGGCCTGTGACCCAGATCTAGCCAATCAGTGTATTTCTTCCTTCGGTCACAGTGATTGGCGCAAGTGTGGGCACGTGACCCAAACTGAGCCAATGGCGTTTAATTCTAGGAGCTGATAGGCTGGAAGCTTGAGCGTCCTGGGGACCTTCTTTCCCATGAGAAGGAAGATACGGAGGAAAACAGGTAAGAGGTGTCCGAAGACACTGAGCCCAGTGACATGCTTGAGGCCGTTGAATTGGGCCGTGCCTGAACTCGGCTTTATGGTCGACTTTTCAGTTACAGGAGATAATGCATTCCCTTTTTGGCTTCATGCCATTTCAATGTGAGGTTAAATGATTCCTGACCAAAAGCCAATGTAACATTGCCTCCGCCCTGCTCCTGTTTGTGTACCCTGGTCATACCAGGTAGCCTGCAATAGGAAAATTTCACCAGGAAAAGAGAATTGCTTTCAGGCTTCCTGCGTTGTCTGAAAAGAGCCTGGTTTAAAGCCCCAGCGGAGACACTTAGGATTAGCCAATGAGAGCAAGGAGCCAGGGTGGTGAATGTGTGCCAACAAATAACTCAAGCGGGCGAAACTCTTGGGGTTTTATAATTATGTGAAAAAACCCGAGATTTCTGTAAGGCAGGGGGTCAGCAAATTAAAATTCTCCCAGGAGCTAAGGGCTTCTGAATGCTTGTTTCTGATAATCTTGTTTATATCCTGGGGTAAATAAATCTGTCTTTTGTTCTGTGTTATTCAACTCTCAGCATTGTTTGTAATTAAAGGGGTGGAGGGTGGAAACATGAGTGAGTTCTTTAATTGGCTCTGTTCTGGGTGACACGGAGTAAGGGGGGAAAAAAAGGCCCTTGTGGGCAGGAGTTGGGGGTGGCCTGATCTGCCCTGGGAAATGGTGATCAAACTCTGGGCAGCTGGTGATCAAGTGGCAAAGGGGTGGAAATCCATCGTCATTAGTGTGATCGATGAGCACAGGCTGAGCCTCTGCCGGTTTGTGCCAGGATTCTTCTGAGACAGAAAGAACCTGAGTGAAGGTCTGGTTTCAGAAGTCACCCCCATGCCAAGAGGTAGAATATTACTCCAGGTGGACTTATTACTCACCCTCTACTTTCCTTCAACCATGTCCTGGGGGTTGGAAGGGATGACAGGACAATCCTAGTAAATGGTCAGATAAGCCCCACTTATGACATGATAGAAAGGGGTTAATGAGCACAAATAGTCATAACAGATACAACAGCTAACGTGTGTTGTGCACTTTCTGTGTGTCAGACATGATGTTGAGAGCAATACATACGTGGTTTTTTTTTTTTCTTTTGATGATTTCTTTTAATGCTCCCAAGAATTCTATGCTATTGGCACAACCATCTGTATTTTTTGGGTGAAGACACTGAGACACAGAGAGAGGTTAAATAACTTGCTAGGGGTCACCCAGAGCGTGAAGCTGGCATTCATCTTCAAGTCAACCCGACTACAAAGCTCTGCTTACGTTGACCGCATTACCTCATGCCTTCAGGGAGCTCTGCTCTGTGCTTCTATAGCTTTATTTTAAAACTCTTTAACCAAGTCTCATCCTCTCTCTGAGTCTCAGAGTCTTACCTGTAAAATGGGGATAAGAACACTTTTAGGTAGCAGGGTGCTTGGATGCAAACAGCAGACACAGACATGGGTTAATTTAAGCAAAAGTGGAATGTTCTGGAAAGATACGGCAGAGTTCTCAGAGCTCTGATCTCTTTTGGTTTTGTGGAGGAAACAGGTCAAGCTTCCACCAAGAATCACCCCGTGGAGGATTTTTCTCCAACAGAAAGGGTGTTCAGAGGCTAAGTAGCCAAAATAACCCCACCCCACCCTGACTTTCTATTAGGGCTGCACGGGATGGATGTCTCTAGCATCAGGCATGACACACAGTAAATGCCCAGTGAATGGTAATTATTATTATTCTTACTAACGATAATACCCAGGAAGAAGCAGCTCAGTCTGTCTCCATGTCTGCTGTATCAATTCTGAGCCACCTGTCCTGTGGGATGATTTAGATGTCCTTTATGAACAGAGATGTAAACCAAGCTAACATATCCTCGAGACAGAAGGATGCTGGCATGTCTTTAGATTGGTCACTAAAGCGTGTCCTAAATTGGGAAAAAATCAAAACAGATTGCATCTAATTTCTCACTGTTCCAAGCAAGAAATTACCTTTTTAAGGGAAACACCATGACTTCCAAGCTGTTTGCAAACAGTTTTTGTGAAGTGTCTTGTCTGGGTCTTGGCTTGGTTTTCTTGGTTAGATTATCCCCGTGGGGATAGCTGGGTTTGCAGAGAGAAGAGGCACAAAGAATCCACTTATCTCACTTCTTCCTCATGCTATTAGGAGCCTGGTGAGCCCCACGCACCCCCCCACAGTAGCTGAGTGAGTTACCACATGGAAAGCGTGGGCTTCGGAGCCAGAGACCCGGGTTTGAATCCTAGCTCTACTGTTTCCTGCTATATAGCCTTGGGCAAGTCACTTTACCTCTGTGGCTTTCCATTTTCTCATCTTAAAAATGAGGTAATCATGATTCACTTCCTAGAGCTTGCCGTGGCCTGAAGTAACTGTTGTTTTCATCCAAAGCTGCTGCTTTGATATCTTTGCATAAATTAGAAAAAAAGGCATCCTTTCTTCTAGCAGATGTAGCTGGGGCCAGGGTACGTGGCTGGCTGAGCAGAGTACAGGCAGGATTTTATTTCCTACTTAGCCCCTCAGCTGCTTCTCAATCTCCCCCCTGCTCGTGCTCTCTATCACTCTCTCTCTCTCTGAAAATAAATAAAATCTTTAAAAATTTTTAGAGAGAGAGAGAGCACAAGCAGGGGGAGTGGCAGGCAGAGGGAGAAGCAGGTTCCCCGGCTGAGAAAGGAGCCCAATGTGGGACACCATCCCAGGACCCTGCGATCATGACCTGAGTCAAAGGCAGACGCTTAACCGACTGAGACACCCAGGCATCCCCTTATTAAGCTTTTTAAGCCTTTCTCCTATGAATAGACACAGACCCCTGGCCAAAAGGATGAGAATATAACCCAATTCTGGCCAAATCATCTAACCAGAAACAGTGATTGGTCCAAGGGATAGGCATGTGACCCAGGCAGTCTAATCAGAGTTTTTTCCTGGGACCAATATACACATGTTGGGAGAAAGTAGCATTTTATATCCACTGGGGACATGCCAGCCATGTTCCTCTTCAGATGGACTAGGCCTGTCTATAGTAGGAGGAAATGTGATCAACAGGTAAAGACAAACAGAAGTAAAAATGAGAGAGGAAGTTTCTGGAGCCTGTTGCTGAGGCTGTTTCCTGAAACTCTTCCTGTGATTCTAAGCACACACTTGGTTCTCCTCTTAGTTACATGAGCCCAAACGATTCTACTTTAGCTTAAGCTACCGTGAGTTGGTTGTCTGACACTTGGAGCCAAGACTGTCCTAATAATTGAGGAGTTGTTATAAGAGGTATATATGGAAAGAACCCTAGCTCCCAGTGGCACTCCATAAATAATAGTTGTTCTTATTGTCACACCAAACCACGTGGAATTCCCACCACTGTGCTTCTTTGGAGTGAACAGGGAAAAAAAATGCTTTATTAGATTGGGGATGTCAGACATTGTCACCAGTCCTTGATCTCCTGCCCATGACAGACATCGGTAACTCATTAGTGGAAAACATGAATTGATAAGGCTGTGGTGTTTTTTGGTTGTTGTTGATGATTTTGTTTTGTTTTGTTTTTTGCTTTGCTCGGAAATGGTCTCTGAGTCCTACTAACAGGTGCTATAGGCATCCTCTGCTAATCATTTGGAAATGAAATAGGAGATGAAACCAAACATTTTGATTTTAGGCAATTTGTGACAAAATCCATTGCAATTCATTTTTTAAGCCTCTAACCTGTGGAAGCATGCCAATGGAGGTGAGAAAATGTTGCTTTAAATTAATGCCAGAAAGTAAGGGACTCAGAATAACACCACAGAAGCCTAAATGGCTAATGAAGTTTGGCAGAAGGGTTTTGTGAACATGTGTAGGGCATCTGGGTCAACAGGCAAGCAAATTCCCAAAGACAGAAGAAAAGATTAGCTCGGCTCCCCCACTGTGTCCGAGGTAAATAAATCTCACTTCCCTGTGGTGTTTTGGGGATGAGGGAGGGGTTCCTGGTGAATTTTCCAGCCAGAGGAAGGCCTCCTGGTGGAATAGAAAAAGAACCGAATAAATTTGAACAAAACAAAACACTCCAGATTTTTCTGCCTAGCTAGAGAAGTCCAAGATCTGTCACTGACCGCTGAGTCTAGGGGAGCCAAAGGAGTCAAATTTGATACTAGATAAGGTAGATAGATATTTTATTTCACACACAGCTTACTTTCTAATGTGCTTCCCCTGTAGTGAGATGCAGAGTTTTGATTGGGTGCTTATTAAGGGTTTATTTTTCACCATATTGGTTCCTGGAGAAACACTTGCTTATGTAGAATAAACCCACAGACAAAATAACCCCCCAATAAGCCCTTAATAACTGCTTTCAATTATTGATCACTTATTGTATGCGGGGGTGTGTTTTTTTCCCACAAGTTATCTTTAATCCTTACAACAAACTTGACGAAGCAGCATTTTTACCTCATTTTACAGATGGAGAAACTGAGATTCAGAGCAGTTACTTCGTAGACAAGTCAGCATTTAAAGGCAAGTCTTTCTCACACCGATGTTCTTGGTATTTCTGCCATCATGTGCCACAGAGCTTATATTTTTTCTTTAAAAAAATTACAGAAGTAACAAAAACAGTGTTGTATGTACATAAAGTAAAAAAAAAATAGAAAGCCCCCCCCCGACCCCCCATTAACTAGCCCTTCCCATCCCTATTTCCCAGAGGTAACCTATAGTACCAGTTGGGTGTATGTCTTTCAAGATCTTAGATAATGCCACAAATAATACATGTTATTATAAGAAAGTCAGAAAATGCAGATAAGCAGAAAGCAAGATAAGGTGCCATAACTCAGAGATAACCGGGGAGAACATGCTGATGTATTTCCTTCCTGTGCTCTGTGTGTGTGTGTGTGTGTGTGTGTTTTCAGAAGACACATTCATTGCCTGCCTGTCATATGACCAGCCCTGTGGGAAAAACAGATTAAGACCCCTCCCTGGCCTCTGGGTCCCACAGTCTTAGTGGTAACAGAAGAGTTGCCGCCTTTT